GATGTTTTGGGCTGAATGTTTGTTTTCCCCAAAAGCTCATATATTAAAACTAGAGGCCAGGTGCATGAAATTTGTACATGGGGGCGGGGGGGAGGAGCGGGTGTCCCTCAGCCCAGCCTGCACCCTCTCCAATTCAGGACCCCTTAGGGGATGTCTGACTGCCAGTTTAGGCCCGATTGTCGGACATCCCTCTCACAATCCGGGACCGCTGGCTCCTAACCGCTCACCTGCCTGCTGGCCTGATCCCTCTAACTGCTCTCCCTCGCCTCTAACCACCTCTGCCTCGGCCCCACCACCATGGCTTTGTCTGGAAGGTCGTCCGGAAGATGTCCGGTCTAATTAGCATATTACCCTTTTATTAGTATAGGTCTTAAACCTCAATGTGAAGGTGGGACTTTGGGAGGTGATTAGGTCATAATCCTCAGGTGAGGATGAACAACAACAACAAAATAATTGTCTTATGACTAGATGATCAAAGAATATACAGAAAAAAAGTAGAGAAAAATTATTAAAGAGCTATATCATGCAGTTAATTAGTAAAAATATGTTGGCTCTAGATTGTATAATATTTGTGATATTTGCCAGCTTTTTAAATTTTGTAATTTGTTATTATTTCTTCTGTTATTCTAAAAAAATGTATTTGCTAACCAAATTCTGTATTTATGACTTTGTATTCTTTCTCTTTTTAAAAATATTTTTATTGATTTTAGAGAGAACGGGAGAGGGAGAGAGAGATGGAAACATCAATGATGAGAGAGAATCATTGATGGGCTGCCTTCTGCATGCCCCCTATGGGGATCGAGCCCACAACCCGGGCATGTGCCCTTGACTGGAATCAAACCCAGGACCCTTCAGTCCGCAGGCTGACGCTCTATCCACGGAGCCAAACCAGCTAGGGCTGTATTCTTTCTCTTTAAGAAAAGAATACCCTAAACTTTAAAAGCTTCAAGCCCCACAAAACCTGGTTCAACCCTGTTCCTTTTGCTCCCTGTGCTCCAGCCATATTGGAATCCCTCCATGCCCACTGCTTAGGAAAGTGCCCGACACATAGTAGTATCAGGAAAATATCTGTAGAAGAATGAATGAATGACTCAGAAACTGGAGTGCTAGAATGTTAACTACATAAAAACATGAATTTTGTCTGCTTTATTCATTGTTACCTTCCCACATGCAGAATAGTGGCTGGCATACAGCTGGTGCACAATAAGTATTTTAAAAAACAGAGATCCAGGCCTGTTCAACTGCAGACCATGCTTCTTTCTATTGCCTCCAGTTATTTCCAGTTTACAAAGCATTTTCCCAAGATCCTCTTCACAGATCTAAGAGGTGTCATTTTCATTTTATTTATTTATTTTTTTTAAAAAATATATTTTATTGATGTTTCACAGAGAGGAAGGGAGAGGGATAGAGAGTTAGAAACATCGATGAGAGAGAAACATCGATCAGCTGCCTCCTGCACACTCCCTACTGGGTATATGCCCGCAACCAAGGTACATGACCCCGACTGGAATCGAACCTGGGACCCTTGAGTCCGTAGGCCGACGCTCTATCCACTGAGCCAAACCAGTTAAGGCTCATTTTAGATTTAAGGTTAAATGGAGACTCAGAGGAGAAGTTACTTGCCCCAGGTGACTCAGGGGCAGAGCTGAAATTCCAGCCCAGATCTCAAGGGCCAGAAAGCCTTATCCTCCTTGGCCCTCCCAATAAGATGCTCCACATAAGAAAGCACGTGGTGAAGGAGCCAGTCCTACAACCCAGAGTAGGCAGGTTCCGGAAGAATGACTGTGCATGGACAGCAGGTGGTGCCCATCCACACGGTAGTTACTCTGACTGATGATAGCTCTTGGCTAAGAGACACAAAAACATTTGTCAAACACCAAACTTTGAATTGCCAGTTTAATTTGCTCCCAATGGCCCTGCTTTTGCTTCCTTGGCCATTGCTCTTTAGGCCTGAATAGAAAAACCGAGTCTTTCCCTCCTGAGTAGGGAAAAACACAGTTCTCCATCTCCTGTGTGTTTTCCCTTTACTTTTACACAGAACACTTCCAAGCAATTCTCCATGACAACAGCTGGGTGTCCTATGATTTAACACAATTCTGACACTCTCTACCTGGAGGTCTCATAGGTTAAGGGCTCAGTCCCACAAGATGGCTCCCACCCCACTTCAGATGCCAATCAGAAGTAGAAGGTCCCCAGGTTACTTACAACTTCCACCCAACGTGGCCACAAATTGGAGGTTCCCGTGGCCCCCTTCTTGATTCAGTTAATTTGCTAGAAGGGCTCACAGAACACAGGGAAGCACTCACTTACCTTTAGCAGCTCATGAAAGGATACCGAGGAACAGCCAGATACAGAGATGCACAGGGCAAGGCCTGGGAGGGTCCCCAGTGCAGGAAAGCGTCTACACCCTCCTGCTATGTGGATGCCCCAAACTGGAAGCTCCCCAAATCCCCTACTAGTGGGATTTTATGGAGTCTTCCTCATGTAGGCATGAACAATTAGTACCTCCATTTCCAGCCCCTCTCTCTTCTCTGGAGGATGGGGGATGGGGATGGAAATTCCAAGCTTCCAACCATGGCTTGGTCTTTCTGGTGATCAGTCCACATCCAGGAGCCATCTAGGAGCCCACCCAGAATCAATATAATTAGGAACTCATAAGGGTTTTAGGAGCCTGTGTCAGGGTCAAACAAATGTTAGAACAAGAGATGCTCCCAGTGCTCTGACAGGACAAGGAAGCTAAGAGAGACTGGAGCGTGTGTCTGACACCCTGGTACTCACCAGACTCTCCCTCTGTTTCCCACACTTCCCAGCCGCCTCCTGGGACAGATCATGTGACCTATCCTATTGAATGGGCTGTGGGAGGAAGGGACATATACTAGTAGCACTTCCTGTCTAAAGTATCATAGAGCCAGTGTGTGACTCTCCAAATGTATCTTCCTAGCTTGGCATTTGGTGGATGCCCATGGGGCCTGGGACCTAGAACCTTGACAAGAGGGTGCTGGCTGGTGCCCTGGGGAGAAATTGCTGCAGTGAGGTGAAGTATGGCGAGGTGGTGCTGCTCATAGGAACAGGAAGCTACAGAGAACAAAGATGAAGAAGTGAATTCTTTCTCCCTCCTCCAGCCGTGGGGTGTCCCTCTAGCCCCAACCTGATTATTGGCAAAGTCTAACAAACTCTAACATGGGGCACTGGTAACACAGAAATGTGGTTCGTGACGCCTGAGCCCCAGCCCCAGCATCACAGTGTGGGGTTTTTTCAGTATTTATTTTTGTGTTATATTAAAAATTTTAGCATTATAAGTGTACAGGTCAGTGTGGCATCAAGTACATTCACACTGTTATGCCACCATCACACCATCCATCCAGAATGTTTTTCATCTTGCAAAACTGAACTCAGTACCCATTAAACTCCCCACTCCCACTCTCCAAGCTTCTAGAAGCCACTATTCTACTTTGTGTCTTTATGGATTTGACTACTGTAGGCACCTCATATAAATGGAATCGTACAATATTTGTCCTTTTGTGACTGACTGGCTTATTTCACTCAGCATAATGCCTTTGAAGTTCATCCACGTTGTAGCATGTGCCAGAATTTCCTTCCTTTTGAAGGCTGAATGAAATTCCACTTTATGTATATATCACATTTTGCTTATCCATTTAGCTGTCAATAGAGAAGTATTTTTGTATTATCAACTATTATATTTAAAAAGTCTCCGATTAGTCTGGCTGTAAACATTGTACATATAATGCAAATCCCCCACACTCTGTGTTTGTATGCAATGAGTTTACTTTTTCAAAACCATAAAAACAATACACTAACAACATGCAAGTCAATTTTAAAAAATAAAAAGGCCTACCAATTATCAGACCATCGTAACAACAGGGCTTTTTATTTTCACCTCTTCTATTTTTTTCAAAGTTATAACTCCTGCACCCCATCCCACTGAATGTTCTGCCACATCATAAACCTTGTTGCCTGCTATTACAGGGTTGTTATTGCCAACCCTGAATGAGTGAAATGCTGTTTTCTTCACCACTTCCCTCCTTTGCTTCTATGAACATCTGGATTGTATTCTTCAGGACTGTTTTGGTTGCAAATGAGGGAAACCCTACTCAAAGCTGCTTAAGCAAAAAACAAATTGGTGTGTGTGGTGGTGGTGGAATTCACTGGCCTCAGTCACTGGAAAGAATGCAGGAGTAACTCATTGAACTGGGACCTGAAACCAGGGACTAAAACGAGCAAGCACTCTACCTCTCAGCCTATCTCTTGCGTGGTCCTCTCTCTACTTCTCTTTTAAGATTAGCCTCTTCCTTTCTAAGCACAGACAGGTCTTCCCCACCTGGCAGGTTACATGGCCTCTGGCAGCCCCAGCTTTGCAACTGCAGTAGAACAAGCATCCAGCTAGCAATCCCAGAGAAGGGCTGTGATTGGCTGTGCTGACCCACTCAGCCAACCCACTTAGCCAATCCTGTTGTTAGAGTGGCCATGCATTATAATTGGGCAGGCCTGATCACATGTCCATCCCTACGGCCAGAATGGTGACAGCCTCTGTTGCTTTCAGATAAAGGGGAATGAGAAGTCCCGTTGGAAGACAGAAAACAACCATCCAGCTTTACACAGGCTGCTGCTTGTCACCATGGCAAGACTAGATAAACTTCCTCACACACTGAGCTCTTGGTTCTAACAATTACTTTTTGAGAAATTCCCAAGGATAGGATTACTTGATGGTGCTTTCCAGAACCATGTCACATATTTGTGTTTTTCAAAGCATGTTCACACCCAATACCTTATTTGTGCCTCATCAAAAAATGCTCATAACTGACAGAGAAAGAACCAGTGACACAGAGAAGTTGAGTGAGGGGTCCAGGGACATTTAGTAGATGAGGACAGAGGTGAACCTAGGGACTCCCTGACTCCCATCCCAGTGTCCCCCACCCCAACAGCATCACAAAACTTAGATGAGTGGTGGGGGGTTCAAGCCCGGGGTCATCTCTGACCAGTTAGGGGAGGGAGCTTCGTCGGCCATCTACCCCTTGGAGGAGCTGGGCCAGCCGCCTGGATGACACGGGCTGGTGACCCCGGCCTTCGGAGCCTGCTCGAGCTCTGATGGGCGATGTCCCGCTGCTGGACACGGCCTCCTCCCAGTGGGCGCTCTCGGAGCGCAGCTCCTCCAGGACACTGCGAAGATGCCTCAGGGCGAGCAGGAGCTTCTGGTCTTGGATCTGCATCTCGGCCTGGGAGAGAGAGAACAGGCCTGCGAGGGGCGGGCAGTGCACTGGACACTCCCCCGGAAGGCCTGTTCTCATCACTGTCTCGCCGGAGACAAGCCCACAAGCTCAAAGAAGCCGTTTGCACCAAAGCCTCCGTTTCTTCATCTGCAAAGCGGAAAGCAAATTACCTACCTCCCAGGGCTCTTACTGTAACCGGCTCAAAATGGTCCTCTGCTGTTCGACGAGATACTGAGTTGCCTTTCAGACAAAGCAGACCAAGACCACAATCATGCAGCCGGAGCATGGCACAGAGGAGAGAACTTTGGCCTCCAGCTGCACCCAGAACCAAGGTCTCACCACAACCACCACCCCACCCCACCTCCCATGCCCCAGCCAGCACCTCACAGAACCACAGGACCAGGACATGACCGGAACTTGAACACTGGAATCCTTTCAGAAGTCAGGGTTCTGTTGTCCAGGAAGATCCAGTGTTGATGCCTTTTTACCACCGATGGCCAGGTTCCGAGGTCCTCTAAGACGTGCCCCAGCAGCACCAGCTCTTCCTCATAGCCCCTTAGGAACCCTTGGCCTGGTCCAGTGGGCAAGAAGGATCTGAGGCACCCCTAGGTCTCCCATCTTCTCGGTGGGTGCCTTCTTGATCAATGAACCTTTCCTTATTCCAAACCCCGACATTTTGAGTTTTGGCCTTTCGAAGCATTGGGCACACAGACTTCGGTCCAGTAACATTAGGAGGATGGGATGAATTAGTTCCCACTCTAAAATAGGGCATGCGGAACTACCAAGATCTGTGATGATCTTCATTATCATCATCATCAATATTAAACATGATTCTTCTTATTTACAACCCCACTTACATGCTATAACCCTCACTAACAAATCATTTTATAGGCATTAAGGAGATAGTGACTTCATATTAAAGTGAAGTACACCCTGCAGGCAGTAGTAATAACACCAAGAGAGCAGGGAGCTAGAAAGAAGAAACCCCCGAGAACACGCAGCCATCCCTTCCTAATTCCCGGGAAAACGTTGCCTGTGTTTTCTCAATTTTAGGGTTTTCCTCCCACACATTTTTTTAAAAATATATTTTTATCGATTTCAGAGCGGAAGGAAGAGGGAGAGAGAAATAGAAACATCCATGATGAGAGAGAATCATGGATCGGCTGCCTTCTGCAAGTCCCTCACTGGGGATCGAGCCCACAACCCGGGCATATGCCCTTGGCCTCCACTCCCCATTTTCCTCACTCTCACTGCTCTGGGCTTGCACCTCCAAAATGAATTGTTAGCACCCCAATCCTTGTGCAAGCCTCTGCCCCAGGTGGACACAGAGCACACCCAGGCTAAGACAGCAGCTGTACTCCACAGCCACCTGGGTCAGGATTGTAGCAGACGTGCAGAGCAGACACTGAGCGAATTACACCATCTTCTCACCGAATCCTTTCAGTAACCCCTGCAGTGTTGGTACAACTGTTACCCCCATCTTATGATAAGGAAACTGAGGCTCAAAGAGGTAAAGCCACTTGGTCGAAGCCACACAGCAGTGGAGCTGGGCACATACCCAGGACTTAGTGTAATTTCTGAAACCGGTCTGGCACGCAGTGCACCCAAGGCCTCCTATGTAGGCCATGACCTACTTATCCCTGTACCTGAGGTGGCGACTGTGCACTGTGTGGCTGGTCCCAGAGGGCTGCCTGCAGGGCCTACACCCCAGCCTGCAGCCTCTGTCCCAGCCAATGGGGCACCTGGGAAGGGGGACCAGCAAACCTTGGCATACGTGGGGTGGAGGCGTCAGGTAAAAAGAAATGCAGAGCCTTACCAGTTCCTTCCGCAGCCACTCCAGGGTCTGCCTAAGACTCGCGGTTGGCTCTTCTGCTGTTTTCATCTCCGTGTCCTTGGGAGGGACCTTGACGCTGGCCTGGTGATGGGCCTGACAGACCGTTGACTTACACAGTCTCCTGCCTGCTTCAGGCTGGAAGCAGAGTCTGGCCAAATCACTGAGGATGAAGTTAATGAGACCAGGAAGTGGCTCACATTGGAAAATGTAGGTTTTTTTTTTTTTAAAGGGTTTCAGTGCACTAAAGAGAAAAAGTAGGGAGGGCAGGAGGGAGACCATTGGATAACAGTGCCTCCGTGCCTGCGAGTTCCAGAATCCAAGATCTGATGCCAATAGGACTACAGAGACTGCAAAGCTTTACATGATGAAAACAACAATTATTATGAGAATAGGGGTCCTCTTCTGAGGGCTCCAAGTGACATATATATCTATAGTCTCTCCCTCTAAAACATGTATTTCTATTATTTATATATGAAATCTCACTTGGGGCAAATACTCCATCTATTCCTGCCGTGTCCCCAGTCCCTCCCTCCCTTCCTCACTTATCCATCGCGTCTAGATAAAGGGGAATGTTCACTCCCCAAGTCCCCCTGCTCCTGGGATGCCCAGGTGTCCCATTTCTAGCAAATGGGATCAAAACAGAAATTTGCTTTGAGACTGCTAGGAAAACTTTTGTCTAGCTGGCAAAAGGGAAAGTGTCAGTGATGCTCCCCTTTCTTCCTACTTTCTTCCCCATCTTTCTGCCTTGAATGTGGGTGTGATGCCTGGAGCTACAGTAACCAGCTTACACCCCTAAGTAAGACAAAGGGCAAGAAAACTGCATAGACTTTGCAATCACTGAGTCACAGAATCACCAATAGCATCTG